TAATGAAATTTTAATTTCCTCACGTTTTCCCTATCGGAGTAATTGGAATTTCTCGTCATTGAACTTCATATTGTTTTCTGCAGCCCACTGAAAGATTTGGTTGATGTCCGCCTGGAGCCTTGCAGTGCCTGCAATGGAAGACACTGTCATGCAGATTCGGGTGTCATCTGCAAAGGAAGACACGGTGCTGTTTACCTGGAGTTTACCTGGAGAGAGTTCCGGGGGTCAACGCCCCCGCGGCCCGGTCTGTGACCAGGCCTCCTGGTGGATCAGCGCCTGATCAACCAGGCTGTTGCTGCTGGCTGCACGCAAACCAACGTACGAGCCACAGCCCGGCTGATCCGGAACTGACTTTAGGTGCTTGTCCAGTGCCAGCTTGAAGACTGCCAGGGGTCTGTTGGTAATCCCCCTTATGTGTGCTGGGAGGCAGTTGAACAGTCTCGGGCCCCTGACACTTATTGTATGGTCTCTTAACGTGCTAGTGACACCCCTGCTTTTCATTGGGGGGATGGTGCATCGTCTGCCAAGTCTTTTGCTTTCGTAGTGAGTGATTTTCGTGTGCAAGTTCGGTACTAGTCCCTCTAGGATTTTCCAGGTGTATATAATCATGTATCTCTCCCTCCTGCGTTCCAGGGAATACAGGTTTAGGAACCTCAAGCGCTCCCAATAATTGAGGTGTTTTATCTCCGTTATGCGCGCCGTGAAAGTTCTCTGTACATTTTCTAGGTCGGCAATTTCACCTGCCTTGAAAGGTGCTGTTAGTGTGCAGCAATATTCCAGCCTAGATAGAACAAGTGACCTGAAGAGTGTCATCATGGGCTTGGCCCCCCTAGTTTTGAAGGTTCTCATTATCCATCCTGTCATTTTTCTAGCAGATGCGATTGATACAATGTTATGGTCCTTGAAGGTGAGATCCTCCGACATGATCACTCCCAGGTCTTTGACGTTGGTGTTTCGCTCTATTTTGTGGCCAGAATTTGTTTTGTACTCTGATGAAGATTTAATTTCCTCATGTTTACCATATCTGAGTAATTGAAATTTCTCATCGTTGAACTTCATATTGTTTTCTGCAGCCCACTGAAAGATTTGGCTGATGTCTGCCTGGAGCCTTGCAGTGTCACAAATGGAAGACACTGTCATGCAGATTCGGGTGTCATCTGCAAAGGAAGACACGGTGCTGTGGCTGACATCCTTGTCTATGTCGGATATGAGGATGAGGAACAAGATGGGAGCGAGTACTGTGCCTTGTGGAACAGAGCTTTTCACCGTAGCTGCCTCGGACTTTACTCTGTTGACGACTACTCTCTGTGTTCTGTTAGTGAGGAAATTATAGATCCATCGACCGACTTTTCCTGTTATTCCTTTAGCACGCATTTTGTGCGCTATTACGCCATGGTCACACTTGTCGAAGGCTTTTGCAAAGTCTGTATATATTACATCTGCATTCTTTTTGTCTTCTAGTGCATTTAGGACCTTGTCGTAGTGATCCAATAGTTGAGACAGACAGGAGCGACCTGTTCTAAACCCATGTTGCCCTGGGTTGTGTAACTGATGGGTTTCTAGATGGGTGGTGATCTTGCTTCTTAGGACCCTTTCAAAGATTTTATGATATGGGATGTTAGTGCTATTGGTCTGTAGTTCTTTGCTGTTGCTTTACTGCCCCCTTTGTGGAGTGGGGCTATGTCTGTTGTTTTTAGTAACTGTGGGACGACCCCCGTGTCCATGCTCCCTCTCCATAGGATGGAAAAGGCTCGTGATAGAGGCTTCTTGCAGTTCTTGATGAACACGGAGTTCCATGAGTCTGGCCCGGGGGGCAGAGTGCATGGGCATGTCATTTATCGCCTGTTCGAAGTCATTTGGCGTCAGGATAACATCGGATAGGCTTGTGTTAATCAGATTTTGTGGCTCTCTCATAAAAAATTCATTTTGATCTTCGACTCTCAGTCTGGTTAGCGCTTGCTAAAAACTGAGTCATATTGGGACTTGAGTAGCTCACCATTTCCTTGCTGTCATCTGTGTAGGACCCATCTTGTTTAAGTAGGGGCCCAATACTGGACGTTGTTCTCGATTTTGATTTGGCATAGGAGAAGAAATACTTTGGGTTTCTTTCGATTTCATTTATGGCTTTTAGTTCTTCCCGCGATTCCTGACTCCTAAAGGATTCTTTTAGCTTAAGTTCGATGCTTGCTATTTCTCTGACCAGTGTCTCCCTACGCATTTTCAGATATAAATTGACCTCTTTTAGCCGCTCTGTTATTCTTTTCCGTCGTCTGTAAAGGGAGCGCCTGTCTCTTTCTGTTTTACATCTACTCCTCCTTTTTCTTAGAGGAATAAGCCTTGTGCATACATCGAGTGCCACCGAGTTAATCTGTTCTAGGCATAAGTTGGGGTTTGTGTTGCTTAGTATATCTTCCCAGCTTATATCGGTTAGGACTTGGTTTACTTGGTCCCACTTTATGTTTTTGTTATTGAAGTTGAATTTGGTGAATGCTCCCTCGTGACTAATCTCATTATGTCGGTCTGGGGCTCCGCGCATACATGACTGAACCTCAATTATGTTGTGATCTGAATATATTGTTTTTGATATGGTGACATTTCTTATCAGGTCATCATTGTTAGTGAAGATGAGGTCTAGTGTATTCTCCAGTCTAGTAGGCTCTATTATTTGCTGGTTTATATTGAATTTTGTGCAGAGATTTAAAAGCTCGTGTGAGTGTGAGTTTTCATCAGAGCTGCCTCCTGGTGTTATTACTGCAACAATATTATTTGCTGTGGCTGACATCCTTGTCTATGTCGGATATGAGGATGAGAAACAAGATGGGAGCGAGTACTGTGCCTCTACTGTGGGATTATTAATTTTTATTAACTGCTAACGGGAACCATTCTCCCATGCACGTGGCACCCAGGAGAAGTCATTAGAAGTTCATAGCCTGATAGATTCAGGGAATTTCCAGCTAGTGTAGACTCACCTCACATCAAGTAAGTCTGCTCTGGTTTGTGTGTGGTGAAAGGCAAGAATTCCCTGTCATTAAGTTAGCTTTGCTAAAGAAATGCATCCATAGGGGTGATTGTGAGAACAGGACAAAAGATTCTTGTGTTACTTGTGTCAACAGCGACTGCCAGAGTGCGCATCTCACAACTCACAAGTTCCCACAACATATGTCAAGTGTACCATGGTTTGGTAGGCAACGCACTCGCTTCACACACCGAGTGTCCATTGTTCAATCTGTTATAAAAATAATCTTTATTTCTACAAGTACTTGATACAACTTATACAGACCTGACACACTGTTTAGAAAGGCAGAGCATTTTGGATTACTAATAATGTATTTACCACTGAATATATCATTGCTTAGTTAATCTTAAGTTAATTTTAAGCCTGCCCATAATGCTCTGCATACAAGGGGCTTTGGCATGTTGCACTGTAATAACTTTGTACTTCACTGTATCATGTTCAAATTAATAAATAAATAAATAATGTTAATCATGCTTCCAGGATGTGATCCACACCAGTCGACTAACACCCAGGTACCTATTTGCTGCTAGGTGAACAGGGACAGCAACTGTAAACACGTCGTATGTTTCCGCCCGTATACCTGGAGAGGGTTTCGGGGATCAACTCCCACGAGGCCTGGTCTGAGACCAGGCCTCGTGGTGGATCAGGGTCTGATCAGCCAAGCTGTTACTGCTGGTGGCACGTAAACCCACGTATGGCTGATCAGGTAGTGACTTGAGGTGCCTGTCCAGCACCTTCTTGAAGACAGACAGGGGTCTATTGGTAATCCCCCTTATGTATGCTGGGAGATAGTTGAACTTATTGTACTGTCTCGTGGCGCCCCTGCGTTTCATTGAGGAATGTTGCATCTTCTGTCGAGTCTTTTACTTTCATAGGGAGTGATTTTCGTGTGCAAGTTCCTTTAGGATTTTCTACGTGTATATTATCATGCATCTTTCTCGCCTGCATTCCAGGGAATACAAATCAAGGGAATTCAACTGTCCCCAGTAATTTAGGTGCTTTGTCATACGTATGTGCGCCGTGAAAATTCTCTGTACATTCTCCAGGTCAGCAATTTCGCCAGCCTTGAAGGGGGCAGTTAGTGTACAGCAATATTCCAGCCTAGAGAGAACAAGCAATTTGAAGAGAATCATAATGGGCTTGGCGTTCCTAGTTTTGAAGGTTCTCATTAGCCATCCTATCATTTTTCTAGCAGATGAGGTAGATACATTGTTGTGGTCATTGAAGGTGAGATCCTCTGACATTATCACTCCCAGGTCCTTCACATTAGTTTTTCGCTCTATTGTATGGTTAGAATTTATTTTATACTTCTATAAAGTTTTAATTTCCTCATGCTTTCTATATCTGAGTAGTTAAAATTCGTCTTCCTTGAACTTCATATTGTTTTCTGCAGTCCATCTAAAGATTTGGTTGATGTCCACCTGGTGTCTTGCAGTAAGGTCAATGGAGGACACTGTCATGGCAATTCGGGTGTCATCCGCAACAGAAGACACAGAGCTATGGCTCTGTCAGTGTCAAATATGAGGATGAGGAACAGGATGGGAGAGAGTACTGTGCCTTGTGGAACAGAGCTTTTCACTGTATTATTATTATTATAATCAAGGGGGAAGCGCTAAACCCGGTAGCTGCCTCACACTTTACTTTTTTGTGTTCTGTTTGTCAGGAAGTTATAGATCCATCTACCAACTTTTCCTGTTATTCCTTTATCACGCATTTTGTGCGCTATTACACCATGGTCACACTTGTCAAAGAATTTTTGCAAAGTCTGTGTATATTACATCTGCATTTTCTTTCTAAAGCATCCAGGACCTTGTCATAGTGGTCCAGTAGCTGGGACAGGCATATGTGTGTGTGTGTGTGTGTGTGTGTGTGTGTGTGTGTGTGTGTGTGTGTGTGTGTGTGTGTGTGTGTGTGTGTGTTACGTAGCAACTTTTGCTCCTCTGGCGTCATTGGTTACTCGTTCTGGGTTACTATAAAAAACAAATGCTTTAGGCCTGTTTATCATCAATAACAAATACATTAAACATCATTATTTCCCCTCAAATCAAAACAAAATCATTAAGAATATAAAGGTGATATCATAATTATCAAAAATTTCATTAATAAACAAGAAATAATATAACTTAAAACATTTCAGATGAAAAAAAATTTTCAGACTTACATATCGTGAATAATATTATTTTTTAATATTTAATAATGAAGCATTATGATTATTTCCTCAATACATTTTAAAATGTTAAAGACCTAAGATAATCAGAATTTAGCGTTTACCTTATTTTTAGGCTTAATTTGTGTCTAGTATTTTTTTCAGACTGCAGTGAGAAAAGTTTTAACTTCGTAAGGAATTTGTCGCTGATCACAAGCGACAAATTCCCACGAAGAGCTGGACACTGTCCACGAGCCAGTAATTTGAGGCCCACTGGTGGAACTAACCAAACAATAAAGGATCATAAACATTTAATAAGTCTACAACAAATGAATAACTTTCATCATTCCTAAAACATTAAAAAACAGAGAGGCACAATACCGTAAGTGTAACAATCCACAGATAACCCGCACAGTGTAAGTAAGTAAGTAAGTAAGTAAGTTTATTCAGGTATACACAAATACAGTTACATAGAATTATCATACATAGCAGCATATGTGTAGGGAACCTAGGATAACCCAAAAAAGTCCTGTACATGATCCAAGTTGGATCGAAATGTCGTCATAAGTTCCTCTCTCCTATGTCCGGGTTATTTGTGTAAGACACACATTAACATCTCTGGTTCATTAGTATTGTTCCTCATCATCTGTTAAGCTTGGATAGCCTATTGTACAACCTATCTCTCTTTTACGCTTATATTTGGCTACATTCTGAAGAAAGAAGTGTGTTAAGGTTTCCCTTAGACATATATATATTTAAGTCTGGGCTGTGAGAATCGTGAGAATGATGTACATAGCCTATGTTAGGTCCTTAATTGATTATGCTGCTCCCATGTTGATATTAGCTAGAGAAAGTTCTCTCCGACCCTTGGAGTTAATGCAAAATGAAGCTCTCAGGATTATTCTTGGCTGTCCCAGATCTACAAAAGTTCTTAACATGAGGAAGGAGCTTGGTATTTCTAGTATCAGTGATAGGATTGTTGAAATTAACACTGTACTCGGTATTAGAAAGTTGAGAAACGAACCAGACACTGTCACAGTGAATCTTACCAAGTGTCTAGAGGTAAATACACACAGATCTAAATGGATTGTGAAAACGTGCAATTGCATTAAGTTTTATAACCTGCATGAGCATTTCACCCCTCCATGGAAGATGTGTTCATTTAATATCACATACCTACAAGTCCCTCCCAAGAAGCTCATTGCTAGTAATCCCTTCCTTAAATCTCTTGTTAGAGCAACTGCTCAAGAAGAAATTTCTCACCTAGCTGGTAGTAACAAGTTATCACAAGTTATATACACTGATGGATCTAAACAGGAGTCTTCTGGCAGGGCTGCATCTGCTCTTGTTGCCACCTCCCTAGTTAAGAACGATAATAAATTTGTTGAGTTAGGCATAAGAATTAACAACTGGGCGTCTACACTGCAAACTGAATTGTTTGCAATCCTAATGGCGCTAAAGCTAACCTATGACACTGAGCTTGACTCTATCATCATTACTGATTCTATGTCATCATTGAAGGCTCTTGGCTCATATAATGACTCCAACAACATGCTCATTGGGGAAGCCAGGTATAGATACTCAAAAATTAGGGACAAAGGAATTAATGTACAATTGCTATGGATCCCATCACACATTGGATTACTCCTTCATGATAAAGTTGATATGTTAGCCAAGAAGAGTATCGAGAAGGAGAATGTAGAATATAACTTTGGTATAACTGTGTCTAGCATTAGGAATAATATTAGGAGAGAAATAATGAAAATGATTGTTATAGGAATGCAGTTAGAAGCCTGAGTAGATCTATAACCCACTATGATAACATGAACGTAGATAAGTATGTTTATGGAGCAACTTGCAATGTGAACAGACTGACTGATGTTGTAGTGGCCAGGCTTAGGCTTGGTTACAAGTACTTCTGGCAGTTTGGGAGACACACAGATGATGATCAAACTAAATGTAAATTATGTGATCAGGCATATGGTCACTCACTTGAACACTATGTGCTTAATTGTCCACTCATTGAGGAATACAGAGACAGACAGTATAATAACCTATGTGACATGTCAAGATATCTTATTAATGAAAATAAGATACCAGATATACTAAGCAAATTTCCTAAATTTGCTTGTAACAGATAAGTGAACTATAGATATGTAGATATAAATCCATATGTATTCCTGTTAACCCTTTGGGGCCTAGTTCCTAGGCCTTTTGTGTATCCATATGCTCTCGCGCTACCGTCCACAGGATGGATATGGGGTGCACAATAAACTAGCCACTTCGGTGGCAAAATCTAATCTAAAAAAAGACAGTCCAGGTATTTCCTGTCAAAGATCTTCGTCAAAAGATGACAGGAACTAGAGAAAGGATTACAATATAATACATCTTAAGATTACATATTGTTAAACTGTACAGGTTAACATTACATATTGTTAAACTGTATTTTTATAACACAGAAGAAAATATATTGGCCCTCACCCCATTATGCACTCCATTAACCACCGCTTCTCTGGTCACCAGATGATTAATATATTTATTAATCACACTATACCCATGGTGTAGGTGGTAGTCAAAAGACTACAGAGGCACATAATGGGTCCAGGAACTGAGCCACAAAGTTCTTATAGCTAAACAAATTAGTGGTAATAAACAATTTACATGTTTATAACTGGTTACAATCGTAATGAGTTATTTATGCAGATGTTAATTCACAAAAATATTGTCTTATATTTTAAGAAGGTGGAAAACATTGAACTTAAGGTGAAGGACTCATACAGGATCCAGGAGAGACAGGAAGAGATAAAAGCAATCAGTGAAATTGAAAGAAATTTGAAATATTTCTTTTCATATGCCAAAAAAAGGGCAAAAACCACATCTGGTATCGGGCTCCTGCTCAGAAAAGATGGAACTTACACAGATGACAACAAAGAAATAAATGAGATACTGAAATCTCAATACGACTCTGTGTTTAGCGACCCATTAATCAGTCTAAAGGTCAACAATCCAATTTTTTCATGAATGAGCTCAAAACCCTGTCAATGTGCGCCAAATTTCTGTCATAACCTTAGCTTCACTAGACTTTGAGAAAGCCATTGACAACATGCCCATGCACTCAACCCCAGGCTCAGACTCGTGGAATTCTGTGGTCATTGAGAACTGCAAGAAACCCCTTTTGCGGCCCTAATTGTGCTTTGGAGGAGCATAGATACAGGTGAAATTCCACAGTCATTAAAAACAATGGCATAGATCCACTCCATAAAGATGGAAGCAAAGCATTAGCTAAGAACAACAGACCAATAGTTCTAGTGTCCAACATCAAAAAAATCTTTAAAAGAGTTCTAAGAAGAATTGTAAACCACTTCGATTCCTAACAACTGCACAATCCAGGGCAACATGGGTTCAGAGCAGGTCACTCCTGCCTCTCTCAACAACTGGACCAATATGAAATGGTCTTGGATGCACTGGAAAACAAACAGAATGCAGATGTAGTATACACAGATTTTGCAAAAGCCTTTTACAAGTGCGACCATGGTGTAATAGCGCACAAAATGCGTGCTAAAGGGATAACTGGCAAAGTAGGCAGATAGATCATCAACTTTCTAACCAATCGAACACAAAGAGTAGAGGTAATCAGAGCCTTAGTAAAAAGCTCTGTTCTACAAGGCACAGTACTTGCGACAATCCTGTTCCTCATCCTCATATCAAACATCATTCTTTGCAGACGATACTAGGATCTGAATGAGCGTGTCGTCCACTGAGGACAGTAAATATCCAAGAAGATATAAACCAAGTTTTCCAATGGGTAACAAAGAACATCATGAAGTTTATTGAAGACAAATTCCAACTACTCCGTTATGGAAAACTGGAGGAAATAATAACTAGAACTGAGTATACTACAAACTCTAATCACACAACAGAGTGGAAAAGTAATGTGAGGGACCTGGGAGTGGTAATGTCTGAGGATCTCACCTTTAAGGATCACAACAGTGCCACTCTTACATCCACGAAGAAAATGATAGGATGGATAATGAGAACGTTCAAAACAAGAGATGCCAAGCTACTGATGATCCCTTTTAAATCACTTGTTCTCCTTAGGCTGGAATACTGCTGTACATTAACAGCCCCATTCAAGGCAGGTGAACTTGTAGATCTAGAAAATGTACAGAGAACATTTACTGCACATATAAGTTCTGTCAAATATCTTAACTACTGGAAACGCCTGGAAGAACCTGACTTGTACTCAGTGGAGTGCAGGCGAGAGATACATCAAAATCTACACCTGGAAAATCCTAGAGGGACTGGTCCCTAATCTGCACACAGAAATCACTCTCTCGAAAGCAAAAGACTTGGCAGGTGGTGTAACATACCCCCAATAAAAAGTAAAGGGGGGGGCATTAGTACACAAAGAGAAAACACAGTAAGTGTCCGGGGCCCAAGACTGTTCAACAGCTCCCACCAGCCATAACGGGAATTACCAATAGGCCCTCAAGAGGGAGCTGGACAGATACCTAAAGTCAGTGCCGGATCAGCCGGGTTGTGGTTAGTACGTTGAACTACGTGCGGCCAGCAGTAACAACTTAGTTGATCAGGCCCTGGTCCACCAGGAGGCCTAGTCATGGACCAGGCCGCGGGGGCGTTGATCCCGGGAATACCCTCCAGGTAGGTACCACCGTGGATAAAATACTTTAACATTTCTGAGTTAATTGTCTCTGAATTCATTATTATCGAATTCCAGCACATAATGATGCAAGAAATGCCCATTCAAAGTTTACATTTAATTTGGTCTACATCAGCTGGTGATGCTGATGTAACCTTCCAGAGATACTTTTAACCCAGCCGGAGCCGGGAGGTAGTGACATCACGAGTATCAAGAATCACACATGGACAAGGTCAGCCTTAAATACTACAGCAAGGTAAATTTCCCATCTATGCATGGAGGTACTAGTTTAAACATTGATTATTATTATACTAATCACTAACCCATAAGAATCAATTAAATACTAACTCTTTGCTGTTCAAGAGAAATAATTTCACACATACAGTGTATAACCCCTATGAGTAACTAATACAATAAAGGACTTCATAATAGATCAGGTTATTTTGCTTTTACCGGTAACTATTACGAGCAGTGAACAGTTCTGCAGCTACAGTGTTGTCACTGCGAAGCCGATGATTTCTACCACCAATGGGCGCACCACATTCAGGGCATTTGCTCTCAACCACAGCTCGTCCACAATTAGCTATGCAGTAATAATGACCTTTGGGACATTTGTACCAATGGCCCTGTTTCAGTCCCATAGCATTAATTATCTCCATTCTCTCAGCATCAGTAATTCCAAGTTGACCAAGGTATTTCTCGCTTTCTTTTAAGAGTTCTCTCACTTCTCTTTCTTTCTCGTCGTTAAACTTAACTGTTGGACTGAAGATCTTTGTAATCCTTCTGTGTATACTCATTAAAATATGTTCATCATTCTGAATTAATTTTTCTGATAGGTTCCAGTAGGCTGGTAGAATTGCCAGACGTTGAAGTTCACCAGTAATTTCTTCCATCATTTGTGTGGTGATGCGGAGTTTCTGCTCCATGACTCGACTCACTACAAAGTGAACTTTTTCTGCAAGTTTCCTTGTGTACTGTGGAGCTTGTGTGAGTACTGAGTTTGCTCTGTGTATAATACCACCTTGAAACTGAACGAGGTTCAGTTCAGCATCACTAAGATGTCTGTAAGTTTGTTCAACGATTGATTCTAACCTCCTCAGTTTTGTGGTTAAATCCGGATTCAATGAAGAATCTGCAAAAAAACAAAACAAAAAATAATAATAATAAAGTAAAAAAGCGAATGTTAATATAAACAATACATAGCTTTAAAGTCTTTGTTATTATAATCAAAACTAAGCGCTAAACCCACAAGGGTCATACAACGCTGGCATTTCTTTGGAAGATCGATAAACCACTGCAATTTAAACTCATTCCACACCCTAACACCTGCTACCTCCTACTATTTTACTTTACTAAAGTGTTCTTACCATTTTACCTGGAGGACTGGTGGCAAAAACTCTCGCTTCACACGGCGAGGGTCCGGGTTCGATTCCCGGTGAGGGTTGAAACATTGGACGTGTTTCCTTACACCGGTTGTCTATGTTCACTCATCACTAAAATGGGTACCTGGGTGTTAGTGGACTGGTGTGGGAGCGCTTGAGGTTCCTAAACCTGTATTCCCTGGAACGCAGGAGGGAGAGATACATGATTATATACACCTGGAAAATCCTAGAGGGACTAGTACCGAACTTGCACACGAAAATCACCCACTACGAAAGCAAAAGACTTGGCAGACGATGCACCATCCCCCCAATGAAAAGCAGGGGTGTCACTAGCACGTTAAGAGACCATACAATAAGTGTCAGGGGCCCGAGACTGTTCAACTGCCTCCCAGCACACATAAGGGGGATTACCAACAGACCCCTGGCAGTCTTCAAGCTGGCACTGGACAAGCACCTAAAGTCAGTTCCGGATCAGCCGGGCTGTGGCTCGTATGTTGGTTTGCGTGCAGCCAGCAGCAACAGCCTGGTTGATCAGGCTCTGATCCACCAGGAGGCCTGGTCTCAGACCGGGCCGCGGGGGCGTTGACCCCCGGAACTCTCTCCAGGTAAACTCCAGGTAAACTGGTGTGGGTCACATCCTGGGTGTTAGTGGACTGGTGTGGGTCACATCCTGGGTGTTAGTGGACTGGTGTGGGTCACATCCTGGGTGTTAGTGAACTGGTGTGGGTCACATCCTGGGTGTTAGTGAACTGGTGTGGGTCACATCCTGGGTGTTAGTGGACTGGTGTGGGTCACATCCTGGGTGTTAGTGGACTGGTGTGGGTCACATCCTGGGTGTTAGTGAACTGGTGTGGGTCACATCCTGGGTGTTAGTGAACTGGTGTGGGTCACATCCTGGGTGTTAGTGGACTGGTGTGGGTCACATCCTGGGTCACTGACCTAATTTACCCGAAATGCTCTGCATAACAAGTGGCTTTAGTAAGTTTATTCAAGTATACACAAATACAGCTACATAGATTATCATACATAGCAACATATACAATACAATATACTTTATTTGCACATGATACATAGATGCACGAAGAAATACACTGGTTAAGTGTAACATGCCGAAAGTCCCTTGTATACAGAGCATTATGGTCAGCTTAAAATTAACTTAAGATTAACTAAGCAATGATATATTCAGAGGTAAAAATTACAGTAAACAAAATACAACATGAAGTACAAATGAGTATTTTAAACAATGAAATTTGAACATTTCAATTAAGAGGCATTATAGTTGTACAAATTTATAGCAGAACATTGTATAACAAAATGATCAATATACTATATCAGTATACTATTTGTAGTGCAGAAACAGGTCATATGGTCATTATGAGTTACTGGGCACTCAAGAGAATGAATTATTCTATTAGGTAATGTAATTTATAAACATAGTTTGATAGGGTCACAGGTTATACATTTATGAAATGCAGTTATTCAATATTTATTTAGTTGTGGGTGAGTAAATGATTTATATGAAGAGACTTGAATTGATAGACAGTTTCTTTTGTATTCACAGGTAATGAATTCCAGATCTTTGAGCCTTTAATGTTCATTGAGTTTTTACATAGTGTGAGATGGACTCGAGGAACATCAAAGAGTGATCTGTGCCTTGTGTTATGGTCATGTGTTCTGTTGAGGTTGGCAAGGAGACATTTGAGGGGAGGGTTTACATCAGAGTTAAGTGTTCTATGTATGTAGTAGGTACAGTAATAAGTATGGATGTTTTGAATGGTGAGTAGGTTTAGAATTTTGAATATTGGTGGAGTGTGCTGCCTGTAGTGGAAATTTGTTATCATTTTGGCTGCAGCCTTTTGTTGGGTAATTAATGGTCTGAGATGGTTTATTGTTGTTGAGCCCCATGCACAAATTCCATAGGTGAGATAGGGGTAAATAAGAGAGTGATATAGGGCCAGGAGGGCTGACTGTGGAACATAGTACCGTATCTTCGATAGTATGCCTACGGTCTTGGAAACTTTCTTGGAAATTTGTTGTACATGTGTATGAAATTTGAGTCTATTATCAAGGTGGATTCCTAAGAATTTTCCCTCTGTTAGCTTTGTGATAGGTGATCCATTTATCATTATGTTAAGAGGGACATCTGTAGCTCTGTTACCAAACTGAATGAAGTAGGTTTTGTCAATGTTTAGTGTAAGTTTGTTAGTCCTCATCCAGGTAGATATTTTCTGTAATTCGGTATTTACAGTATTGGCTAGCGTGACTGGGCTCGGGTGAGAGAAGATGTATGTAGTGTCATCTGCAGAAAGTGTGGGTTTGAGTAGTTGCAATGCATTTGGTAGGTCATTTATGTATAGGAGAAAGAGAAGAGGGCCAAGGACACTTCCCTGTGGGACACCAACTGTAATTGGCTGCGCGGAAGAGTTTGCCCCATTTGCGTACACATATTGGCTTCTGTTGCTGAGGTATAACTTGAGGTAGTTGAGGGAGTGCCCTCTTATACCATAGTGTGACAATTTTACGTGGAGCAAGTCATGGTCAACTGTATCAAAAGCTTTACGTAAGTCAATGAAGATCCCCAGTGGGACTTCTTTTTTTTCTAGTGCATTGTATATATGCTCTAGCATGTGTATAATAGCATCATTCGTATTTTTATTAGGCCTGAACCCAAACTGACAGGGGTTGAGTATGTTGTGGGAGATAAGGTAGGAATAGATTCGCTTATGAATTAATTTTTCAAAGATTTTAGAGAGAGTGTGTAAGTGTAGAGAACCTAGGAAAACCCAAAAAAGTCATACAGAGTGACTTATTTCCACTGGGACTTTGGACTGAATACCTTGTACATGTACTTGTAGAAATAGATATTATTATATGGCCAAAAAAAAAAAATAACTATACCAGCTGCAGCCAGCAATGCTATTCTTAAGTTAGGTCAGAAACAAGATAAGTGTTTCCTGACAGGGTTCTTAGACACATGATTAACCGCCACTAGACCTTTTGATCAACTGACCGAGACCTTCTAGTTTATCCGTCCACTTCAAAATTTAAGGTTAAGTGTAATGCCATTATCGCACCACCATGATGAATGAGACTTTTTAAGACAGTACAGGTTCGAATTTTGCCAATATTATGTTAGCCCTTAATTTAGAGAGGATAGAGGTCAGACAGGAGAGGTACAGATAAGATAAGATAAGATAAGATTTCGTTGGGATTTTTAACCCCGGAGGGTTAGCCACCCAGGATAACCCAAGAAAGTCAGTGCGTCATCGAGGACTGTCTAACTTATTTCCATTGGGGTCCTTAATCTTGTCCCCCAGGATGCGACCCACACCAGTCGACTAACACCCAGGTACCTATTTGCTGCTAGGTGAACAGGACAATAGGTGTAAGGAAACGTGTCGAAATGTTTCCACCCGCCGGGAATCGAACCCGGGCCCTCCGTGTGTGAAGCGGGAGCTTTAGCCACCAGGCCACCGGGCCACCCATACTGCTATTTTGTAAAGAATTTTATGTACAACAGGTAATAGGGAATTGAATAACTATAAAAATTAACTTTTCGATTCTAAATTTGGCTTATAAATAATATATATAGTTTTCCATCAGAAAAAGTATTTATATATTAAATTGTCAAACAATTCAAGTCTATTGAAAAAATCAGCCCCAGGTGTCATCAAGACAGAGTTTGTTATGCACCCTATTATACCCATCCTGTGGGTGGTAGTCACACCATACCCGTCCTGTGGGTGGTAGTCACACCATACCCATCCTGTGGGTGGTAGTCACACCATACCCGTCCTGTGGGTGGTAGTCACACCATACCCATCCTGTGGGTGGTAGTCACACCATACCCGTCCTGTGGGTGGTAGTCACACCATACCCGTCCTGTGGGTGGTAGTCACACCATACCCGTCCTGTGGGTGGTAGTCACACCATACCCGTCCTGTGGGTGGTAGTCACACCATACCCATCCTGTGGGTGGTAGTCACACCATACCCGTCCTGTGGGTGGTAGTCACACCATACCCATCCTGTGGGTGGTAGTCACACCATACCCGTCCTGTGGGTGGTAGTCACACCATACCCGTCCTGTGGGTGGTAGTCACACCATACCCGTCCTGTGGGTGGCAGTCACCCCATACCCGTCCTGTGGGTGGTAGTCACACCATACCCATCCTGTGGGTGGCAGTCACACCATACCCATCCTGTGGATGGTAGTCACACCATACCCATCCTCTGGGTGGTAGTCGCACTATACCCATCCTGTGGGTGGTAGTCACACTATACCCATCCTGTGGGTGGTAGTCACCCCATACCCATCCTGTGGGTGGTAGTCACCCATACCCATCCTGTGGGTGGTAGTCACACCATACCCATCCTGTGGGTGGTAGTCACACCATACCCATCCTGTGGGTGGTAGTCACACCATACCCATCCTGTGGGTGGTAGTCACACCATACCCATCCTGTGGGTGGTAGTCACACCTTATCCATCCTGTGGGTGGTAGTCACCCCATACCCATCCTGCGGGTGGTAGTCACCCCATACCCATCCTGTGGATGGTAGTCACACCATACCCATCCTGTGGGTGGTAGTCACCCCATACCCATCCTGTGGGTGGTAGTCACACCATACCCATCCTGTGGGTGGTAGTCACATCATACCCATCCTGTGGGTGGTAGTCACCCCATACCCATCCTGTGGATGGTAGTTACACCATACCCATCCTGTGGGTGGTAGTCACCCCATACCCAT